AAGACTGAGAAAATAGCCAAAAAAAAAAAAAAAATGAGAATGATATACAAAAAATACTAGATACCATTAAACATTCAAACATCTGTAGAATTGGTATCTCATAAGATGAAGAGACTAATCAGGGCATTGATAATCTATTCCATAAAATCCTGAAAGAAAACTTTCCAAATCTAGAGAGGCATTCAAATATCCAGACCCAAGAAATACAAAGGACCCCAAATAGAATCAACCCAAGATCTTCCAAGGCACATCATAGCCAGATTGGCCAAAACAGACAAAGATAAGATACTAAAATTGGCAAGGAGAAATGTCAGGTTACTTATAAGCGTTATTCCATCAAGCTATCATCAGAACTTTCATCAGAAACAATGCAAGCAAGGAAAGAATGGGAAAAGATATTCAAAGTATTAAGTGAAAAACAGTTTCAACCAAGAATACTATACCCGGCAAGATTATCCTTCATGTGGAAAGAAAGGATAAAAACATTCTCAGATAAACAAGACCTGAAAGAATTTGCCAATAGCAGACCCACTCTTCAAGAAGTTCTAAAAGGAGTGCTCTACCAGGAAAACTAAAGACACATACAGAAATAAGAGAACAAAAGGCAACCAAGAAAATGACCAATTTAATGCTAGGGTCAAGAAATATCAATAATAATGTTGAATGTTAACTTCCAGGATTTAAATGGAAAGATTGGGCCACAGTAACACTGCATATTCAACAGAAGAGAGTTTGAACATAAGACTGAACTGGAGAAAGAGAATTTTATGACTTTTCCCATAGTTAAAAGCTCCCCAAAAAAAAAAAAAGGAAGAAAAAAAATAATAACATTGAATATTAACTTCCAGGAGTTAAATGGAAAGATCGGACCACAGTAACACTGCAGAAGAGAGATTAATTACATAAGACTGAACTGGTGAAATAGAATTTTATTACTTTTGAGTAAAACATTACTATTTTTTTTATTATGTTTTGCTTTCCCAATTTAAGGATTTTGGTTTCTTTTGAGCTGTTGATAGATTCAGCGACTTGTTAAAATGTTTTTTCTTCTTCTTTATTTGTTTCTTTCTATGGAAACATGAACTTTTATTCCTTCCTGACCCCTGTGGAATTGGAAAATGTTTGAGAGTATTCTTATTTGTGGCAGAATGGTTACTTGCTTAAGATCAATAATACCTGTTGCCTTGAATCAGAAATTGGAAATACTCGTTATTGGACAGGACTTTG